TTGACCTTAAGTGACCCTTGACAACACTCTCGAGGGAATCGGCGAATGACTATACCTAACTAAAAAACTTGCAAGTTATTGAAGCGAACAAGATGTAAATGTAAGTTTCCCTCCCTTATGTGTTAATTAAAATGTAGGTGCTTATTTGCACTAATTCGGTAATACAGTGTTATCAAGGTTCGACAGGCGTAGTTTATAATAAATCTTGTACTCGTGTATTCGTAAATTGACGAGAGGTTATTGTTCAGCCAAGAGAATCGTGAACGACCAAGTATTTAAGTCACCCTTCAGTAACATAGACAACCAAATCATATGAATTTTCTGAAATTTTTTTTATCCATATTATACAGTATTTAATATCGAAAAATAAAGAAAACATATGTGTAATAGGAGTTGTTAAAAAATATTCTAATTTATTAGATATTTTGTAAAAGTTAACATAACTATATTTCATTAAAAAATAAAAAAAAATTACTTTTAGGTATTATGTTTCTTAAACTTTGTTAAATTAGAAGAAACGAATGAGTTGTGAGAGAAGCTTCCATGCTTCGATCACAAATTTTTACGACGTGAAGTCATTAACGTACAGTACAAGTTGACCAAATTATTTTTTTATACCACTGTGAGTGTTACGGTCAGTGTGTTATTTGGAGTACGGAAAAATTTTTTGTTCAGTTTTTGGTATTGCCATAAAATTATTATGATCATGATAACTAAAGGTATTATAAAAAGTTATATGGAACCTTATTTCGTATCAAAATAAAAAATACTGTTCGAGAACACAGGATATATATATATATATATATATATATATATATATATATATATATATATATATATATATATATATATATATATATATATATATATATATAATTTTTAACTCACGATGAGAGTTCTATCTCATATTTTTTTTGTTGGACAAGTGTATTACTAACCATATTACGCGATTAAAAACCTTCGTTGTTGAAGCGGAGTAATAACATTATAACAACTTATGATGTAATATATCACAGCTAAGACGCACATTTTCCCGCCTTAATAAAAGTAACACTGGATTAGTACACGAGAATTATGTACGACAGAGCTTCATGATCACGTGACTTATTAACCTTTAAGTTTAAGGTAATACTGAGGTTACTGTCCACAGGTGTCTCAAAATAAAGGTTTAGTCGACCTCACTGACTCTAGGTCCAGGGGCTCTAAACCTGGTGTTAGTGAGTCATCTCTTTGGTCACGAGAGCCTGAGTTTCACAATTTTAATCATAGTATAATGTTCAGCACCCTAATGTTTTATTCACAATACAACGGAGATAAATAACTAGTAAATAAAACCACTGTTCTTAAACGATTGTGCTTGTGGTAAAATACTAAAATACTTTTGACTCAGGAAAAAATGCTTCTTTAATTATTTCTTTTTATTGACAATACAAAACATATATATTATAAATGAAGAAATTGTACCAGTGATTTCCTGGTACGTTAGGAAGGTTTACGATGAATTAACTGAACATTTTATTTACAGTAAAAGACATAATAGTTCATTACAAATGTATACAGTACATTGCTATACATAATATAGATAATTTTTATGTAAAGCATAGAGAAAGAAAGAAATGGAATCTTTTTTGTGGTATATTTTTTACTTACTATAGAGGAAGAACCAGCTCTCAGTTAACTGTTAGCGAGATAACCGGCTACTGTACACACACACAGTCTGTATACTAATGTGGTCGAGCTTGGTGCATTGGCCGATAGATGTTGCCATCACCTCACCGCTCTTAATCCGAGAAAGATACTTCTAGTTGCTTTCTGTACTGGCAGGGTCTCTAGCTCGGCAACTTTCACCATCAGCCAGTTCTCCCGTTTAGTATTTATGTCTCTGGCAAGTAAATTTATAATACTATTCATCCATCCCAGTCTCTGTGTTCCCCATCCCACATGTCATAACTGTAGGGAAAAAAAATCACGTAGGGACGACAGACTATCTGTACTTTATACGTAAATTTGTACTTGTTCATTATATTTCTCGGTAAAGTTTTTGGAGGTGAAGGTGTCCAAAAAGGGTGTGTCCGGGGCTCTTCCTTCAGTTGTAGTCGTAGAGGAGTTTCATTATGGTGGGGTAGACATGTTCATGTGCATCCTCAGACCAGATGAAGTCGACGTGGTTGAAGAGTCTTTCTGGTACTTCATAGTCAAGGACCACATTGGGCAACTCCGCCACTGTCTGTCTCAGCGCCTGTAAGATACCACAGTGAAAATATATGTAACTCTTTAATTGGACGAGCAACAAATCCGTCATTGTAAGCAAGAATTTGTCATGATGCCCTTTCATGCTAAGGTTGACACTACTCAATCAAGTTCTGAAAACATCTTGCTACACCCGAGTTCAGTCAAACGTTTTATTACTTTCATATTTCACGTATTAACAGTGATATTAATTCACAGTTTTTATTAATTCCGTCAAAAATGTCTCAGTTAGGGATACAAAATAGAACATAGGTTAGGAAAACCGGTTGAAAAAGGCATTTAATGATAAAAAATCCGGCTAAAATCCCACTCGCCAGACCAACACACACATTCAGTCTGGTCAGTGTAGACGGCAACCTCCAGAATCTTTATTAACAGCATTATCTCACCGTGTGCTCGACTATCCAGTCGTCATCACTCCAAAAGACACCGACAGGAACTTTGACGCTGCTGAGGTTAAACGGCGGCGGCGACGTCGTGCCATACTCCGCCAAGTTCCTCTGTTGTCCGTAGTCGAAGGCCCGGAACTTGCCTGTAGCACCGTAGATGGTCAGGTTTACTGAATTAAATTGAATGAGGCTAGGTCAAGTGAGGCTCAGTTAGCTGTAACGGCAAAAGCTGGTTAAGGTGACAGTGGTGTGATTGTGAGAGACGGTGGTTCTGATTGGTGGAAAAGTCTAATGGAGACCCGCTTCTGGTGTTGTAGTCGATTGAGCTAAAAGTTTAATTCACAAAGTTGTTGGGATATTTTGGCGAATAAAATATAATGAAAGTCACCTACAGTGATGAATGATTTTCAACATTCAAGACTTTATTACAAATGTTAACTATGAAGATGTTTTTCATTACAGCCTTGGTCTTAACCTTAAGTAACCTAAGTGTATTAGACACTATCGGAGAAAGTCATTAGGCTAATACGGCCATCTCTTATGTGTAGACAAATGAAAAAAGGAAGAGAAACTCACCGGAGTGGTACAGCTGCAGGAGATGAGTAAACATGTGTATGCTTGTGCCTGCTGGCACGTGGGCGTGGATCACTGGCAGGTAATTCTGAGGAGAAAATTACAAGGATAATTTTTATGATTATAAATAACAAACATAACAGTAAATTACCTTTATCGCACCTCTGTAACACTCCCCGGACAACCTGTAAATAATATTTGTTATTGTAACTACTTTTAGGCCTCGACTGCTCTTTTGGTTGAAGACTAAATTTTGAGACTCCTTATACCAGCACAGGTTCTGAGGGTCACACCATGATCGATAAGTCCCAAACGTAACGGTGAGTCACAATCACTGCATTTGTGGAACACTTCATCACAGTTTATATAAAGTGACTAAATTGCTGTTATTGCTTTATTTAATTTTGTGGTTTACGATGTATTGCTAATTTACTCGGTACCTAGAACTATAATGACTTCTGTGGTGTAGTACAGTAATTATTTATATAGTGTACGGTACTGTAACTACCTTTTAGTTATTCACGGTGAATTCGCTTGTACCCAATATATTCTTCTATAATGTCTTATGCAAAAAAAAATATTTTAAACAAATTATTGTCATCAGATATAGAGAAATTCGACATTAGGGCACATTATTAACGGGTCAGGTGATGGTGACACCTCGTGCTGGAGCTGCTGTGTTATGGTCAGAAACAACTAAGCTAGTAGGTAGGTGGTACTCACTGGATCAACATTTTTAGAGGTTGGGCCGAAATTCACGTAATGCGCCGCCAGACACATGAAATTGATAAAGGACTCTGGTGCACATACAGTCGATCCCGCACGTACAGTCGTGGAGTCCAAGGGATTGAACTCCAGTTTCCCTAAACGGGTGAAAGTTTCCTGAAACAAGTAAATTTTCATTAAAACGTATAAAATTGTTTTAGTTATGAAAACAAGTTACTTTGCTTGGACCTTCATTTAAATGTTAATACAGGAAGAGACCGGAGTACCCGCAGGGGAAGTACTGATGATAGTATTCTTTCTGAAGCTCAATGTTACTGACAGTGACCAATAATCGTGTTGGACTTGCCGAATATATAGTTGAGGTAGAAGAAAATATATTTTTAGTCTCTCTCTCTCTCTCTCTCTCTCTCTCTCTCTCTCTCTCTCTCTCTCTCTCTCTCATAGTAACTCACATCAATAACGTAGGCGAACGAGCCCAAGAGGCTCCAAGGGGTCGGTTTGCCCTTAACATAAGCGGCAGGGGCCAAAGCTGCCACCACCCGTACCTGCAGGAAACACCAAACGAGAATAAGACTAAATTCAAACAAGACTTTATCACAAGTATATTTTTCCAAGACTGAAGTTAAACAAGATTAGATTGAGGCTGCGGTGATGGGATGATGATCTACCTCCCATAAGTTCTTCTGCCTCCCTGTATAGTTCTCTTCCGGTGAGGAAAAATCTGGGGCAGATGTTTACCAGAAGATAAAATGGTTACAGCGGAAAAATTTGGGATAAAAAAAAAAGTTTGACAGGTACAAATATCACTAGTGGTGAAAACGTTTAAGTGGAGGACCGTGGTCGCCAACCCTCAGGTGTGAGAGCGGCACTTTGATTGAGATTGGGGCTGGATTTAGTGAAGCAAGATGGCGGAAGAAAGTATTAAGGCAAGGCGATGGAGAAAACTAGTGGAGTAAGATGGTTGACTCACCCAATAGTTGATTTCCGGGTGGTAGTCCATCATGGCGAGGAACACCCCACACCCCATGGAGTGACAGACGTAGCTGACCTGCTCCGCGCCGGTTTCCTGACGCACGTATTTGAGCATAGCCGGTATGTCATAGCGTGCTGCCTCGGTCCACCTGAGAGAGAGAAGGGAGGGTTAGTTGTCCGTAGCGATGTCTGTCTTTGGGCCACATTATGCGGACTTTTTCTGGTACTGGAAATAACCATATTATGAGTCGCCTGTAAACCAAAACTTGGGTTTATTGATATCAAGTTCCTTGCTACTTACCACCTGCTACTTACCTTTAATCCCAGAACTCAGGCTACTTGCTACCTACCTGTAATCCCAGAAGTTGACTGTTTGCTACTTACCTTCTGTAGTCCCAGAACTTTGGCTATTTGCTACTTAACTTTAGTCCCAGAACTCGGGCGTCATGCTACGTACGTGAAATCCCAAAATTTTGGGTCGTTGGGAGAGAGTCGAACGTGGCGTCGAGCATAGAAATTTCCTCTGATATTTCCGAGCCAAACATCATAGCCAGCGTCCGCCAGCAAGAACGCTACAGTAGGGGGAGGGGAGGTCATAATTAGTCTCACGTGCCAAAAACGGATATTTTATATTTAGAAAATGACACTTGTGCACACAGCACCAACAGCATTGATAAGAAATTCTTAGGAACCACATTATATATACATTAAAGGTCCTTTCTTGAGTTAGACACATTAAGACAACACTTTAAAAGACACCACTTTAGTCAAACACATTGTTTAGGTAGAAAACAAAATAATCTTGTGATACCATGAACTACCCTATTGTATACCACATCACTCTCTCTCTCTCTCTCTCTCTCTCTCTCACCTAATGCTTCGTCAGGATCATTCATGATGTAGTCGGCGCTGGAGCCAAGAAGACCATGCATCAGTACCGCCACCTTGCGACTGCCACTACTGCTGCGTCTGACGGGTCATTGGAAATGATAAATAATGCCATATCAAACCTTCTCATCTATTATGATAATGAATATATCCAAACCTCGGGGCTAGTATGATGAAGATATATACTGATTGACCTAAGGTTCAAACGTTACATCTTTTATGAAAATGAATAATTCCTGATCTGGGGCTCAAAGCTGCAAAATACCTGTTCTCTGTTTACTGGTAAGGTCGACCAGGACATATCATTATCTGACGACGCCTCTTCACGTTTTTTATCGTCACATATCCTACTTTGTCAAATATATATCTGGATGTTGCAGATGAATTTCCAATCAAATGTGTTCCAGTGCATCTTATGTAACCAACCCGCATTGTCTAAACTGTTATTGTTACTCAAGTCTGACGAAAGTAGCCAGAGGTTAGTCAGTCGCTAATTTGCCTTAAAGTACCCTAATAAACCATTAGTTAAGAGTATATACAGTATACAGTATATATATAGAGTCGATAACTTACCTGTTTCTTCTTACTACAGAGGGGACGTTTACAAAGAGCGCCAACTCATCCTTGGATCTATAGTCACGATCTGAGTGCGTGTACGAGTCGGCGTAGGCGTCCGAAGGAATCCGGGCGTGTAGGAGGATTTCGGCCTTTGTGAGTCCGTTGGCTTCTGGGTGGGAGAGGACTTGTGGGCTGGTGTAGGCTTGTGGGCGGGTGTGGCGTTGTGGGAGGGTGTAGGCTTGTGGGCTGGTGTGGCGTTGTGGGAGGGTGGGGCCTTGTGGGCGGGTGTAGGCTTGTGGGAGGGTATAAGTTTGTTGGAGGGTGTGACCTTGTGGGAGGGTGTTGTTCTTTTTTGGTGTGTGGGCTTGTGGAAGGTGTAGATTTGTGGGAGGTGGGGCCTTGTGGGCAGGTGTGGAAGCTTGTGGGAGAGGTATAAGGTTTGTGGGGAGGGTGTGGCCTTGTGGGGAGGGTGTAGTCCTTTCTGGGTGTGTGGGCTTGTGGAAGGGTGTGGGTGTGGGAAGACGTTGCCTTGTGGGAAGTGTGGGCACTGGGGTGTGTGGGCTTGTGTGGGGAGGTGTGGGTTAGTGGGGAGGGGCGTGGCCTTGTGGGAGGGTGGAGTCCTTCTGGGTGTGTGGGCTTGTGGGGTGTGGGTTGAGTGGGAGGCATTGGCTTGTGGGTGTTTTCCTTTTGTGTGGGCTGGGAGGTGTGTTGGGAGGGCGGGCTTGTGGGGAGGGTGTAGTCCTTTCTGGGTGTTGGGCTTGGGGAGGGTGTAGGGAGTTGGAGGGTGGCCTGTGGGAGGTGGAGTCCTTTCTGGTGTGTGAGCTGTAGAGGGTAGGGTTTGTGAAGGGCGTTGCCTTCTGGGAGGGTGTAGTCCTTTCTGGGTGTGTGGGCTTGTGGAAGGGTGTAGGTTTGTGGGAGGGTGTAGGCTTTTGGAAGGGTTTGAATCCGGAACAGTTTGTAGGTTTGTGGGAAGGTGTCGGTCCTTGAAGAGCATTTGTGTGTGACTTGGTATCGGCTTGAGGGTTCACGTCGGCCTGCGACAAAAGACTTTCTTGTGAGTGTGTGGACCTCTGAGTGGCTGTGTGTATGCGGGAGGGTCTTTTCATGTGAGTGTGTGTGGGCATGAGGTTGGATATATGTGTCAAAGAAGATACTTTGGCTAATATCGGTGTTGTCCAGCGGGTGATCACGTGAGTCAGTGTGGTTTTTTACCAAATAACGTGAGAGACAGATTTTGTGCGTTTTGCTGTGGGTAACTGGGCGGATAGTTTCATGAGACTGGGTGTCGGTGTGTGGGAGGACGTCCTCATATGAGTGGGTGTGGAAGTTTGGGGGGCAGAAGGTGTTTGTGAGGACGTCCCCATGGAGGGGTGTGGGGTGTGTGGGGGACGTCCACATGTGGTGGGTGTGTGGGAGGATGTCCCATGTGAGTGGGTGTCGGTGTGTGGGAGGATGTCCTCATGTGAGTGGTGTGGTTGTGTGGGACGTCCACAGAGTGTGTCTGGGGAGGATGTCCCTATGTGGGTGGTGTGTGTGGGGGATGTCCTCATGTGAGGGTGTGGTGTGTGGGAGGATGTCCTCGGGTGGGTGGTGTGGGGCGTCTCTGGTGGTGGGTGTGGTGTGTGGGGATGTCCTCATGTGTGTGGGGAGGACGTCCTCATGTGAGTGGGTGTGGGGTGGGGGGATGTCTTCATGTGAGTGGATGTAGGAGTGGTGGGTGTCCTATTGTGGGTGTAGGGGTGGCTGGGTGTCCTTGTGGCTGTGGGGTGAGGGTGTGGGGGGGAAGACTCATGTGGTGGGGTGGAGTGTGAGGTGTGTAGGAGGCTGGGTGTCCTCATGAGTGGGTGTAGGGGTGTGACTGGGTGTCCTCATTGAGTGGTGTGAGGGTGTGTGGGTGGGTGTCCTCATGTGAGTGGGTGTAGGAGGTGTGGCTGGTGTCTCTCTGTGGGAGTGGGGTGTAGGAGGTGGGTGGGTGTCCTCATGTGAGTGGGTGTAGGTGTGTGGAGGACGTCCTCATGTGAGGGGTGTGGGTGTGGGTGGAGGCCCTCATGTGAGTGGGTGGGAGTGGCTGGGTGTGGGTGTGGGGAGGACGCCTCATGTGAGGGGTGTAGGGTGTGGTGTGGTGCCTCATGTGAGTGTAGGGTGGGTGGGTGTCCTCATGTGGTTGGGTGGAGTGGTGGACGTCTCATGGAGAGAGTGTGGAGGACGTCCCATGTGGTGGGGTGTGGGGTGTGGGTGGTGTCCTCATGTGAGTGGGTGTAGGAGGTGGGTGGGTGTCCTTGGGTTGTGTGTGTGGGTGACGTCCATGTGGTGGGTGTGGGGTGTGGGTGGTGTCCTCATGTGAGTGGGTGTAGGGAGTGTGGCTGGGTGTCCTCATGTGAGTGGGTGTAGGAGTGTGGGTGGACGTCCTCATGTGAGTGTGGGTGTGGAGGTGTGGGTGTCCCTCATGTGAGTGGTGTAGGGAGTGTGGCTGGGGTGTCCCCATGTGAGGGTGTGGGGAGTGTGGGTGGGGTCCTGTGAGGGGTGTGGGGGTGGGTGGGTGTCCTCATGTGAGGGGTGTAGGAGTGGCTGGGTGTCTCATGTGGGGGTGTCCTCATGTGGGTGGGTGTCTTATGTGAGTGGGTGTGGGAGTGTGGCTGGGTGTCCCTCATGTGAGTGGGTGTAGGAGTGTGGGTGGGTGTCCTCATGTGAGTGGTGTAGGGAGTGTGGGGGTGTCTTCATGTGAGTGGGTGGGGTGTGGGTGGGTGTCCTCATGTGAGTGGGTGTAGGAGTGTGGGTGGGTGTCCTCATGTGGTGGGTGTGGAGTGTGGCTGGGTGTCCTGGTATGAGTGGTGGAGTTTGAGCAGGTGTAAGGGTGTGGGAAGACGTCTTCATGTGAGTGGGAGTTGGTGTGTGGAAGTTGTCTTCATGTGAGTGGGAGTATGGGTGGGTGTGGGAGTGTGAGTGGGAGTATGACTGGGTGTAGGGGTGGTCGTCTTCATATGAGTGGGAGTGTGGGCGGGTGCGGGAATGTGGGCGGGTGCGGGAGTGTGTGCGGGTGCGGGAGTGTGGGCGGGTGCGGGAGTGTGGACGTGTGCGGGAATGTGGGCGGGTGTAGGGACGCCCGTGTGGTATGCGGTGCATCTCCAGGATGTAGCCGTCATCAGTGGTAACTTGGTGGACCTCGACTGGGTATCCGCGATCCTATAATCGGCTGTTGTATTAATAACTGCCTTAAGCATTATAGTACACCAACACCTTAGCAATATAGTGCTTCAACTACAACACATGGCTTATATAGTACTACACTACTACACATTGCTTCAATAGTGCTACACTACAACAGCAACAATGGTTACTGCAACTACAACTATTAGCTTAATATAGTACTACACCTACTACACCTTAGCTAATATAGTGCTACACCTACAACACTTTTGGCAATATAGTGCTACACCTACAGCACTTTAGCTTAATATAATGCTACACCTACAACACTTTAGCAATATAATGCTACACCTAACACCTTAGCTTAATAAGTGCTACCACAACACTTACAATATAATGCTACTACAACACTTTGGCAATATATGCTACCTACAACATCTTTGGCTTAATATTTTCACCTGCAACTTAGCTAATATGCTACAACACTTTGGCTTAATATAATGCTACACCTACAACACTGGCAATATAATGCTACTACAGCAATAATAATTCTTGCTACACTACAACATTACAATATAATGCTACCTACACTTTAAGCATATAATGCTACACCTAAACACTGACCAATAAATGCTACACCTACAACACTTTAGCTTAATATAATTTCTCACCTACAACAGCAATATAGTGCTACACCTACCTTAGCTGAATATGATGCTACATGTTCAACAATAGTGCTACACCTACAACACTTTTACAATAATGCTACCTACCATGCTTTTAGCTAATATAATGCACCTACAACACTGAAGCAATATAATTTACACCTACAACACTTTAGCTTAATATATTACTACACATACTACCTTGACAATATAGTGCTACAACTACAACATTAGCTTAATATGGTACACCTACACCAGCAATATAGTGCTACACCTACAACACTTTAGCTTAATATAATGCCACCTCTGTACTGACAATATAATGCTACCTACAACACTTTAGCAATATAATGCTACACCTACAACATTTAGCAATATAATGCTACACCTGCAACAAGCTTAATATAACTACCTCTACACTTTATTATATAATTTCATACAACACTTTAAGCAATATAATGCTACACAACACTTTTGCTTAATATATATGCCACCTACAACATTAAGCAATAGTACTACACCTTAAGCAATATAGTACTACTATACAAGCTTAATATAGTGCTACAACTATTATATTAGCTTAATACATTTTACTACCTACCACCTTAACAATATATTTCTAACTTTAGCTAATATAGTGCTACACCTACAACACTTTAGCAATATAATGCTACACCTCTTACCTTTAACATTATAATACCTACAACACCTTAATGATATAATTGCTACACCTACAACTAATATAATGCTACACCTATAACACTTTAGCAATACAATGCTACCTACAACACTTTAGCTTAATATAATGCTACACACCTACAACACTTTAGCTTAATATAGTGCTACACCTACAACACTTTAGCTTAATATAATGCCTTTGTAGCTAATATAGTGCTACTTCCTACAACACTAGCTAATATAATGCTACACCTACAACACCTTAGCTTAATATGGTGCTACACCTACAACACTTTAGCTAATATAATGCTACACCTACAACACCTTAAGCTTAATATAGTGCTACACCTACTACACCTTAGCAATATGGTGCTTTCCTCAACACTTTAGCTAATATAGTGCTACACTAACACTATATAACTGTTTTACCATTGATGACGTCAGAACAAAGCAGGAACATATACTATATGTAGATAACTATATTTGATGCCTGTCGTCGCTCTATGAATGTCGTTCTGACAGACTAACACAATTAGAGACATGTCAACCCTTCATTTTTCTTAGAGGCACTTAAATAGTCGATGTTTTTCCCCTAATGGTGCAGTGTCTAAGCTGGAGTCAAAGTGTGTCGCACAGAACATATTTTAAAACCTTATCTCTGGTGGTATGAGGAAATGTATTCAAAATTTAATCGTTGTAAAGACATATTGATACCACGAGTCAAATATATGTGTGTGGGTGCGGCGTTGACGGGTGTGGCAGAATGATGGTGGTGAGGCGGGTCTGGTTTGACTGGTGGCTCCCTCCACCATCACATCCAATACCTAATCAGCACTATGCAGCCAGTTCCTCGCGTCATGGTGTTAAGAGTTCTCACTGTGAAAACGGTGAGAGAAATTAAGAGTAACCATTTTCACGTCAGAAACTTGAACACATCTGTTGGGTTTTGTGTTTGATAGCGACACGGAACAATATGGGAATACACTAATGTATGAAGATGGTTCCCACTTCGTGCGTGGCAAGTGAAAGTAATTTTTTGCTGCCTTATATGTGAGTTTATTGAGAGAGAGAGTGAACTTTTCCATCATATCAGCTGTCTTATTAAGAAAGGTTAAAGAAGGTTGATTCTTAAGTATGTAAAAAACTTTCTTGCTTGTCATAGGGAGAGTTTAAGTTCCTGGCTAAGAAATCGTCATTTCAATTTTTTCTCTCGTATACAAAATACTGTTTGTTGTGTTTTAAACCAGTCTTCAGACAATTGACATTTTGATCCACTTATCCGGACAATCAACTCTGAACACAATATATGTTTTCTTCTCATATATTTGTGATTGTTTTGCTGTTTTGAGACATAAGTTTGCTGTTTTGGGGAGATAGTTTGCTGTGTTGAGACATTAGTTTGGGGGTTTTGAAACATAAGTTTGCTGTTTTGAGACATTAATTTGCTGTTCTGAGACATTAGTTTGGGGTTTTGAGACGTTAGTTTGCTGTTTTGAGACATTAGTTTGCTGTTTTGAGACATTAGTTTGGGGGTTTTGTGACATAAGTTTGCTGAGAGGCTAGTTTGGGGTTTTGAGACATTAGTTTGCTGTGTTGAGACATTAGTTGCTGTGTTGGAGACATTAGTTTGGGGTTTTGAGACATAAGTTTGCTGTTTTGAGACATTAGTTTGCTGTGTTCAGACATAGTTTGGGGTTTTAGACATTAGTTTGATGTTTTGAGACATTAGTGTGTTCAGACATTAGTTTGGGGGTTTTGAGACATAAGTTTGTTGTTTTGGAGACATTAGTTTGGGGTTTTGAGACATTAGTTTGATGTTTTGGAATATTAGTTTGTAGACATAAGTTTGCTGTTTTGAGACATAAGTTTGCTGTTTTGAGACATTAGTTTGGGGGTTTTGAGACATTAGTTTGATGTTTTGAGACATTGTTTGGGGGTTTTGGAGACTAAGTTTGCTGTTTTGAGACATTAATTCTGTTCTGAGACATTAGTTTGGGGTTTGAGACATTAGTTTGATGTTTTGAGACATTAGTTTGGGGCTTTGAGGACATTAGTTTGCTGTTCTGAGACATTAGTTTGGGTAGTTTTATAAAGTTTGCTGTTTTGAGACATTAGTTTGGGGTTTTTGAGACATAAGTTTGCTGTTTTGAGACATTAGTTTGGGGTTTTGAGGCATAAGTTTGCTGTTTTGAGACATTAGTTTGCTTGTTTGAGACATTAGTTTGCTGTTGAGACATTAGTTTGGGGTTTTATGACATAAGTTTGCTGAGACATTAGTTTGATGTTTTGAGACATTAGTAGGTTTGGAGGACATAAGTTTGTTGTTTGAGACATTAGTTTGGGGTTTTTGAGACATTAGTTTGCTGTTTTGAGACATTAGTTTGGGGTTTTGAGACATAAGTTTGCTGTTTTGGAGACATTAGTTTGTGTTGAGACATTAGTTTGGGGGTTTTGAGACATTAGTTTGATGTTTTGAGACATTAGTTTGGGGGTTTTGAGACATAAGTTTGCTTGTTTTGAGACATAATTGCTGTTCTGAGACATTAGTTGGGGTTTTGAGACATAAGTTTGCTGTTTGAGACATTAGTTTGCTTGTTTTGGAGACATTAGTTTGCTGTGTTGGGACATTAGTTTGGGGTTTTGAGACATAAGTTTGCTGTTTTGAGACATTAGTTTGGGGGTTTTGAGACAAGTTTGCTGTTTTGAGACATTAGTTTGCTGTGTTGAGACATTAGTTTGCTGTGTTGAGACATTAGGGGTTTGGGGGTTATGACATAAGTTTGCTGTTTTGAGACATTAGTTTGCTGTGTTAGACATTAGTTTGCTGTGTTGAGACATTAGTTTGGGGTTTTTGAGACATAAGTTTGCTTGTTTTGAGACATTAATTTGGTTGTTCTGAGACATTAGTTTGGGGTTTTGAGACATAAGTTTGCTGTTTTGAGACATTAGTTTGCTGTTTTGAGACATAAGTTTGCTGTTTTGAGACATTAGTTTGGAGGTTTTGAGACATAAGTTTGCTGTTTTGAGACATTAGTTTGGGGGTTTTTGAGACATTAGTTTGATGTTTGAGACATTAGTTTGGGGGTTTTGAGGCATTAGTTTGATGTTTTGAGACATTAGTTTGATGTTTTGGGACATTAGTTTGCTGTTTTTGAGACATAAGTTTGGGTGTTTTGAGACATAAGTTTGCTGTTTGAGCTTTATGGTTTGGGGGTTTTGAGACATAGTTTGCTGTTTTGAGACATTAGTTTGGGTGTTTTGAGACATAAGTTTTCTGTTTTGAGACATTAATTTGCTGTTCTGAGACATTAGTTTGGGGTTTGAGACATTAGTTTGATGTTTTTGAGACATTAGTTTGGGGGTTTTGAACATTAGTTTGCTGTTTTGAGACATAAGTTTGCTGTTTTGAGACATAAGTTTGCTGTTTGAGACATTAGTTTGCTGTTTTGAGACATAAGTTTTCTTTGTTGAGACATTAGTTTGGGGTTTTGAATAAGTTTGCTGTTTTGAGACATTAGTTTGCTGTTTTGAACATAAGTTTGCTGTTTTGAGACATTAGTTTGGGGTTTTGAGGCATTAGTTTGATGTTTTGAGACATTAGTTGCTGTTTTGAGACATAAGTTTGCTATTTTGAGACATTAGTTTGCTGTTTTGAGACATAAGTTTGCTGATGTTGAACATTAGTTTGGGGTTTTGAGACATAAGTTTGCTGTTTTGAGACATTAGTTTGCTGTTTTGAGACATTAGTTTGCTGTGTTGAGACATTAGTTTGGGGTTTTGAGACATTAGTTTGATGTTTTGAGACATTAGTTTGGGGGTTTTGAGGCATTAGTTTGGGGTTTTGAGGCATTAGTTTGGGGGTTTGAGGCATTAGTTTGATGTTTTGAGACATTAGTTTGATGTTTTGAGACATAAGTTTGGGGGATTTTAGGGCATTAGTTTGGGGTTTTGAGGCATTAGTTTGCTGTTTTGGAACATTAGTTTGGGGTTTTGAGACATTAGTTTGCTGTTTTGGGAACTTGTAGTTTGGGGGTTTTTGAGACATTAGTTTGCTGTTTTGAGACATTAGTTTGGGGTTTTGACATTAGTTTGGGG